TATATATACACACACAATTTTTTTTGGTGGTAGTTGGGATTGAATCCAGGGCCTTTGCACTGAGCTACAAGCCCAGCCCCTTTTTAATTTTTATTTTGAGGCAAGTTCTTGCTAAGTGGCTAAGCTGCTTAGACTGAGTTTGAACTTTCAATCCTCCTACCTCAACCTCCCAGAGTGCTGGGATTACAGGTGTGCACCACCTTGCCTAACTTGTACTTTTTTTGTGTATGTGTGTGTGTGCTTCTGGAAGTACATTTACATTTTTTCACAACCCTGTGAAATAGAAAGGGAAAAATAAATAAAGTGCTTCTGAGATTTGTGTTTTAGTTTTCCTTACTTGGAAATTTCTAGTTAAAATTTTAAAGTTTTCCTTTCTTTTCTTATCCTGTTCACCTGTCCAAATCCTATCTTTTCTGAGCTAACTTGAAATATTTCAATGTATAGGTCGACATTATTACCCAATGCTTAATATGTATCTTGTTTACCCAGTTATGTGTCCATTTCAGAAAAGATAGATTGAAGCCAAGTATAAATTCCCAGTAAGAAGAGCATTAAAAACAAAAGCTAGCCAGGCATGGTAGCACACAGTTGTAATCCCTGCACTCAGGAGGCTGAGGTGAGAGAGAAGGTGGGTCATGAGTTCAAGGCCAGCCTTGGCTACATGGTGAAATCCTGTCTAAAAAACAAAATAGGGCCGGGGATGTAGCTTAGTGGCACTGTGCCTGCCTGGCAAGTTCACAGTCCTGAGTTAGATCCTCGGCATTGAAAAGCAAACAAACAAAACAAAACAATCCATTAGTAACAAAAAACAAAACAAAAACTTGAAAATATAGAGACTTTATAAACTTTTATAAATATTGGTTTCTTCTGTAGTTGATGTCTCAGATCTAGATGTAATTCATAATGCTGAATTGTTTTAAGTCCTTATGCAAATAAATTAATTACTAGATGAGAGAAATGATTTATTGAAAAAGTATTTGTGCTGATTAATATCTACTTTCAAGGAGATCATATTATAGAATGGCCATTAAACCTGATTTAAAATTATCATTCCTATCTTTGAGTTTTTCAGATTTTATTTTTACTAGTACATGTTTGTAGTACATAATGATTATGTTTGTGATGGGGAGTGAGTACATGTACATACACATCTTAATTATTTTTATATCCACCACCCCTCCCTGCCCTTCCCCCTCTGAGTTTAGCCTCTTATGTTAAGATGTATTTATTTTATTTTATGTATTTTTTGATACCGGGGATCGAACTCGGGTCCTTGCACTTGCAAGGCAGGCAGCGGGAACCACTGAGCTAAATCCCTGGCCCAAGATGTTATTTAAATTTTTAAAAAATTTGTTTTAAATGAAACATAACTCCTTTTTTTAAAAAAAGAAGTATATGCTCACTTCAACAGCACATACACTAAAAAAAAAAGTATATGTACATATCTACTTAGACATGAAGTTTATTTTTTTGTGTGTGTATGGTACTGGGGTTTGAACCCAGAGAGTGCTGTGCCACACTACTGGCCTTTTGATTTTTTTTTTTAAAACAAGGTCTTTCTAAGTGGCCCAGGCTGGCCTCCAACTTGCAATCCTCCTGCCTCAGCCTCTCAATTAGCTGGGATTATAGGTTTGTCACTGCACTTTTAACCTAATATATAAAAAAATATATAAAATTATATACAATATATAAAAATATAAATTATATATAAAATTTCAATATATAATCATAATTAAATTTAGATATTTTACTTTTTTATGTTAAGCCTTCAAACTCCAGTGTTTATTTTATACTTATGGCACATCTCAGTTTGGACTAGCTGTATACTGCAGTACTCAGTCTCCATGTTTAACTAGGTGCTACCATACCAGACAGCAAAAGTCTAAAACAGTGTTACTGTTTTTGTCCTCTGATGTTCTATTGTGGAAACTTCTGAAGTCATTGAGTTAGGAAAAAGATAGTCATTCGACATACTGAATATTACAGAATTCCTGCTTACTACACATGCTGCTTATCTACTTCTTTTAGAAAATTAAATCAATTCTTGAGAATTTTCTCTACAAAGTGAGCAGTTTTATACTTTTTATTTTATTTTGACTGGATAGTGTACTCTTTAGTAATACTTGGCCTAATAGAGACACTCATACCAGGATGATTGCAAATTTGAGGCCAGCCTGGGCAGTTTAGTGAGACCCTGTCTCAAAAAAATAAAAAAGGCCAGGAATTGTAATTCAGTGGTAGAACACTTGCCGAGTACCACAATAACAAAAAATGAAGATACTGAACCTGATAAAGACATTCTAACAGGAGCAGTCTGAAACAGTGGTTCTTATAAAACATTAGAATTGTCAGGGGTTTGTTAGAAATTGAGTTTCCTGAGCTCTTCCTCAGTGGTCTTATCCAACAGGAATCTGTACTTTTAACAAGTATTTTAGATGATTTTGATGCAGGCGGAATAAATTTTCAAATTTCATACAAAATTGAAAAGTTACTTTAAAAATAGCATTGGATTTGTTTTTCTCACCACAGAAATAAGAAGAAAAATTGGTAGTTTTATTTGGGAACAAGAAGAATCTCTGATAGAAAAGGTAAGAGTAAATTAAGTACTTGATTAGAATCTGCAATTTCAAAATTTTCTGAAAGCAATGTAATCTTAAAATGTTTACTTGTAAAATGTTAGCAATAATGAGACAGAAAAATTTCAAGCACATGTTTTTATTTGACATTGTTTTAACAGTAGTACATTGATAAAATTGAAGATTCCTTGAATAAATAAGACTGCATGCCAGGCGTGGTGGCACAGGCCTGTAATCCCAGCAGTTGGGAGGCTGAGGCAGGATTGAAATTTTGAGGCCAGTACTGGCCTACACAGCAAGTCTGAGGCAGCCTGAACTACAGAGTGAGACACACCAGCAAAACAAAACATCATTATTTGAAAATAACAGTTCTTTTGGTATCTTTGGCTAGGAGATAAAAATGTATGTTCGTCTAAGGAGGAAAATATGTACTCTGGTTTGTCACAATGTCCTCAGGGGCGCGAATGAAGATGGCGTGGTTATTATTTCATAATAATTACTGAGCATACCAGAATTGTAGGGCTTAAAACACCTTAAAGATCGTCATTTGTTTAGTTTTATAAATTAAAAAAAACTGAGGTGAATAGAAGGGAAAGACCTTAGTTCACATAGCCAGCTATTAGCAAAGTAGGACCAAATTTTCTTTGTTTTAGCCCAGTTCATTGTTTTTTTCTACTAAAAAATTAGTAAAGTATGATTATACTCACTACTGACTATAGAAATTGTTTTATTATACGATGAAGGATTTTGTCAATGCTTTAAAATATTGATTGATACTGAATAGCAGGAAGAAGGTACTTTTCTGAATGGAAATAACAGGGGTAAAGATGAAGGTCATTTGGAGAGCATTATTGTTCTTTGGAGTGGTTTTATGACCTAATTAGACTTTTTCTAATAACATTTTAGGTAAAAATGATAGTTACCAGTATCTGAGTCGCTTTCAGAGTCTTTTAGAAAAGCTTACTATACTTTAATTCTTCTAAAATTTCACAGCCAACACTGGCATTTTGAGGTGGAAACAATATGTTCAACATTCTTCATATTTTTGATTTAGAATTCACAGGAAGCCTAGAAACCCTTAAGTCAAGTGTTTTAAGAAAGTTTAAAATAGTAACTTTTAAATTTCCCTATTTTATGACAAAAAGGAGTATCATCATATTAGAAAAAATTTCAAAAATTAAAGAGAACATCACCAGTTTTGCTTATCCAGTGCAACAACAGCAGGCATTTAAAATATTGTATTTCTTTTTTACGTATCTCTCAAAGTATATAGCATATTTATATGTGTTTTTGTATAGCAAGCTAGACTGAACGAACCCATATCTGGCCCTCGTCTGTCTGTCTACCTGGCCCTCCATCCATCTCCCATTTACTTCGTCTCCTTTGGTGGGGACATTTTTGACTGACTCATTGATTTGCTCACTTTTTAAAATGTGATTTATTTTGCTATCCACAGCGTGATGAAGTTACATCAAATGAAATAAATACCTTTAAGGAGAACAGTGAACTAGCCACAGAGAATGAAAAAGAATCACCAGAAAGGTATTGAATTCATGCACTTCATCAGTTCAGTGTAGGTAACCGAGCAGATTGTACGCAGTCTTCCTATGAGATTGGTGTTATCATCATCATTCCTATTTTACAGAAAAGGAGGCCTAGAATTAAAAAGATTAATTTACCCCCAAATCAGACAAACTTTGATGAAGTGGGGGAGAAGTAGATGAGACTCTTAATTGTAGGGCCCTGCATTGACGGTGCTGGCTGACCATTGCAGGGAGGAAACAAGGGTTCTATGTATGTTACAAGAACAGTTACATTATTTAAAAAGTATTTTAGACTAGAAAGTACACTAAATTTTAGCAGTAATTTCAAAGCTAACAGTGATTTCCCCCTTTCCAAATTCTTTGCTTTAAGAAATTCAGTTTAAAAGGCAATCAAGCATGGACCTGCCCTGTGTTAGGGGAAATCTGAGAGTCCCCTCTCCTTGCAGACTTACTCCTGATCTGCTCCTCATTCCGTATTTCCCGGTTCTGCAGTTTTCAAAGTTCATAGGGAACACTGGCTATTCAAAAGTTTGGTGTTTGGCTGTAATAATCAAATAGTAATTTTCTTTCTCCATGTGACAGTTGATGGATTTATTTATATATATTTTTCATTTTAGTTTTCCTTTCAGTAAGGCTAATTTACTTAGCATACAGAGAAGTCTTACAAATCTGGGAAAAATATATCCAATCCAATAACAATAAAATTGTCAAAGGATGTGAATACACCTTAGGTACTGTCTGCTTGGAGTGTGTGTGTGTGTGTGTGTGTGTGTGTGTGTGTGTGTGTGTGTGTGTAGACACCAGAAGTTGCAGTGAAAACATAAACCTTTGACCCTACCTATGAAATAATACTTTGTCCTTGGGTCCTTGTGCTTGTGAGGCAGGTGGCAGAACCACTGAGCTAAATTCCCAGCCCAAAAGTGTGAGCTCTTGTTGAACATGTGCTAAATAAGACACCTGCGAACTAAGCAGCTTACGGTCTTTCATCTGGTTCTCACTGTATGAGATAGATAAGTATTTGTGCCACTTTACAGCTGAGTAAGGAGATTCTGAGTACCAAATCACACAGTATTATTCAGGAGCGGACTGAATCGAAACCAGGTCTAGCTGAGTTCAGAACCCAAACTCTTAAATATGTTGTTTTTCTTTCCCAAATGGTCCCCAAATCTTCTGAAAATTGCATGTTATTATTTTTAAAATAATTTTGTTTTAATGGGTATAATTTTTCAAAATGGGAAATACAGAAAAAATAAAGGAAATTTAAATTACAGCCAATCCCACCACTCATTAGTATGTTTCCCCCAGTTTTTTGGGGGGAGGTGATACCAGGAATCAACTCAGGACCTTGCAATTGGCAGGCAAGCATGGCACTGCTGATCCCCCCAGTTTTATACAAATACACAGTTAACAGAGTTGAGGTCAGGTAGCATGTCTGACTCTTGACTTTACGTTTAATATTCTATGGGCAGTTCCCTATGTAGAAAATGTTTATTCGATATTATGACTTATAAGCATTATATATTTCTTCCTGTTTATGTAACCATCTTTTTAATTATTTTTAAATGTTTAAAAGTTTCATCCCTAAAATGTACCAATAAACTCAATTAAAGCTGAAAAAAAATTAAAAAAAATAAAAGTTTCAGCCCAGCCTGGGCAACTTCGTGACTTAGCGAGATCCTGTCTCAAAATAAAAAATTTAAAAAGGGGTGGAGATGTACCTTGTTGTGAAGGCCCTGGGTTCAGTCATCAGTACCACCAAATAAATAAGTAATGAATAAATGGATAAATAAGATAAAGCCAAAACAAATCTTGCTCTACTTTTAAGATAATTTTTTTTTTTGGTACTGGAGATCAAACTTCGGACTTTGAACTTGCAAGGCAGGTGCGGTGCCACTGAGCTACATCCCCAGCCCTTTAAAATAATTTTCTTCCTGTAAATTCTCAGATATGGAATTTATGATAATAGAGATGTGGATTTATTTAGAGACTGGTGGCAGGAATAACGCCAGTTACTTCTCACAAAAGTACGAATTTAAGGTAGAGTTAGTGTTGAATATTAGTAAGAAATCTTGTTCCAATTTAACAGATGAAAAATGACATTTTATTTTGTGTTTTTCTTGGATTACTAATTGCTTTGAAGCTCTTCACATTTGTTCATTAACATTTTGTGTTTCCTTTTCTGTGGCTTACTTTTATCCTTTCTCTATTTTTCTTTTAGAGGTCTCACTGTTTTTTCTATCAACTTGTCTGACAGCTTTTGTAATAGTTTTATTATCCTTCTGCCAGTTTGATAAACTGTACCCTCAGTTTGTTGCTGGCATGTAGTTTTTTGTAGATATACATTTTTAGTGGTTGTTGTTGTTGTTTTGTTTTTTTATATCGGGGATCGAACTCACACCCTTGCACTTGCAAGGCAGGCAGTAGAACCACTGAGCCAAATCCCTGGCCCTACATTTTTAGTTTTTATGTTATAGATTAATCATTTTTAAAGAATTTCTCTATTGCTTCTGTGTTCAGAAATTCCCTTTATAATTCAGAAATTTCAGAAATGAAATAGATTTTTACTTCTGGAGATACTCATTTTGGTGTATAGTATGAGGTGTAGAGCTAATTTTATTTTTGGGTTTCATTTTTGTTTTTTGTTTTTTTTGAGTCTTGCTATGTAGTTCAGATTGGCCTTGAACTCGTGATGTGGCCCTTGTTGACTGCAAACTAATGGCAATCCTCCTTCCTCAGCCTCCTGAGTGCTGGGACTACAGGTGTGTGCCACCACACCTGGCCTTTATTTATTTATTTTTGGAACTGGGGATTGAACTCAGGACCTTGTGCTTTCGAGGCAGGCAGTGGCACCCCTGAGCTAAATCCTGGACCCCCTGGTCTTTATTTATAATTTTGCAAATAAATTTCCTTTAGTTTTTGAAAAACACATCTACCAAAGTAAAAGCCTAGACTCATTCCTTTGTGTGTGTGTGTGTGTGTGTGTGTATGTCTGTGATCCTGGGGGTTGAGCCTGGACCTCACACGTGTTAGGCAAGGACTCTACCACTGCACTACATCACCAGCTCCTCATTTCTCTTTAAAAATATTGTGCTTAGCTATTTGTGCCTGCTCATTTTTGTCCTTTAATTTTTCCAATGGGTAATGTGTTTACGTGGCTTGGGATTTAGGGTCTTATATATAAAGGGATGCTATGAAAATATACTGGCTGCTAGAGAGCTAGCTCCCCTCCCAGAGGCAATCGCTGTTATGTTTCTCATATCTGCATGGGAACCTTGCACTTTTTCATTCAGTAATTTGTCTTGGAGATCATCCCGTGTTACAACATAGAATTGTTTTCATTTATACTGTGAGATATTCCATTATGTGAACTCACTGTATTTTATTTAACCATATATATGTAGTTTATATATATATATAGTATATATATATATTTATATATAGTTTACCTAATTCTAGTCCTATTTTAATGGACTTTTAGGTAATTTTGATCTGCTATTAAGAATAGTGCTTTAGTGAATATTCCTGTCATTCTGCATGTGTGCAGATATGTGTGGGTAATTTCTTAGAAGATAAATTAGTAGGTTAAAGCCATGTACATTTGTATTTTTGATATTTCTTATCAAATTGCCTTCAGGAGTGCTTAAACCGCTTTATACATCTGCTCCTGCAGACAAGTGGATTTAGTCTCAGACTTTTTGGAGGACACTATTTTGCTTTATTTGTAAGATCTCATCTAACTGATGTATAGTTTCTTTTGGAAGAGTTTTAAAGAAATTTAATTTTTTTAAAAATTGAAAATAGCCGGGCATGGTGGCACACGCCTGTAATCCCAGCACTCGGGAGGCTGAGGCAGGAGGATCATTGCACGTTCGAGACCAGCCTGGGCTACATAGTGAGTTCCAGGTCAGTCTCAACTATGTAGTGAGACCCTGTCTCAAAAAAAAAAAAAAAAAAAAAAAAAAAAAAAAAAAAAAAAAAAAAAGAAAAAAAGAAAAAAGAAAAGAAAGCCTTCACTTCATTTTAAATTTAGGGTTTTAGGAATATAATAAATTCAAGGTTGACTTCAATTTTATTGTTAAAGTTTTAATTTCTTTTCTTTATTTTTCGGATGCAGGGAATCAAACTCAGGACTTTGCACTTGTGAGGCAGGCCTGGTACCACTGAGCTAAATCCCTGGCCCTAAAGTTTTAATTTCATAAAATTATACTATCTATTGGTTACATGTAATCCAAGTACAGGAAATACTATTACTTGCCAAGTTATAAATAGGATATTTGTTGGCACAGTGGCATGTGCCAGTAGTCCCAGCTTCATGGAAGGCTGAGGCAGGAGGATGCCTGAGCACAGGAGTTTGAGACCAGCCTCCAGAATATAGGGAGACCCTGTCACACACAAAAAAGGAAAACTCTTCAGCTCTTAAAAAATTAGAATGTATAACTAATTATGTTACTCTAGTGCACTATGTGTAATTTACTTTTTGAAGTAAAAAAATCACTTCAAAATTTTATTGTATCTCATGGTTTTCCTAAATATTGTTTTCTCACTTGTTATGGTGAAGCATGGAAGTATTCGTTAATAGAGTCTAAATTATTTGAATGCTGAAAAGCTTTTGCTCTGATCCCTTAAAAACAGAGTCTGCAATGTTTTGGGGGTGTGGTTAATATTGCATATATACATACACACATACTGCGTATTTTACCTAATTCTATGGTATTATTGTTATGCTTTCACTGAGACTAAGAAAGACCCAAGCCTTTGCACATGCAATAAATATGTGGTTTGTGAGGTGGCCAAGAAAACAAAAAATATGTATACAGGCCCTTATATTACTCAGAAGCACAAAAGAAATTTACAATTAACATTTTTATTTAATAAGACTAAAATCTGATTGAAGAACCATTAAATTACAATATGTAGGACCCAGGATTTAGCTCAGTGGTTCTGCTGCCTGTCTCACAAGCACAAGGTCCTGAGTTTGATATCCGATACCAAAAAAAAAAAAGATTAAAAAAATACAATATGTATTGCCTGAAATAGGTTAATAAATTCTCATTCTTAAATATATATACATCTAAATATCTGTCTATATATAGATAGATATATACTTGTACTTTGCTATTGATTTCTCTGAAACTTGTCGAATATGGTGCTTGGTGCATAAGGTAGAACCTGCTGGAGTCAACTGCCTTTTAATTTACTGCCTTTTCCAGCCAAAATGATTTGTTTGGTAGTCATTGAGCCTCTTGGAGAGAACAAGGTCTCTATGTGTGCGTATGTGTGTCTGCATGTGTGTGTGTGTATATGTATGTATGTATGTGTATATATATATATATATATATATATATATATATATGTAAAACTTTGTTTCATTTTTATAGAACAGAAAATAATTTTTTAAGGACTGCGGTTATAGAAAAGCAGATGTACTTCCCTCTTCAGGATTATCCAGTGAACAACATGGTAACAGGTAACTTAAAATTTAGAGTAAACCCAGGTAGGAAAGAAATCTGGAAGTCAGGTGTAGGTAAACCTGCCACTGTATGTCAAGTCCCAGCAAGTAGATACAGAGAATAGAAGAGACATCACTCATATAGTAAATAAACTAACCTGAGCCAAGGACAGGCCTCATATTTTTGTGCTAAATGTGGTCTCTAGATAGGGTAAACCACACCCTTGTTTATATGAGAGTAGATCCCTCTCTGTTGTTCTGGCAGTTGGGTTTTGTTTTGTGTTTTTGTGGTGCAGGGGATTGAACTCAGGGTCTTTCCCTGCCTGCCATTGACTTGAAAGATAAATTATATGGATAGCCCCAATTGTAGTATCTATTGAAAAGTGGTTTGGTTTGATTTTGTTTTTGGTATTGGGGATCTAACTCAGGACCTTGCCCTTGTGAGGCAGGTGCAATGCCACTGAGCTAAAATACGGCCCTCCATTGAAAGTTGCTAAAACACAGGTCCCTTTTACACAAACACACACACACACACACACACACACACACACGCCCACACACACACAAAGTTTAACGTGCAAACTTTGCATGTAATGGAGACACACAGATGCCAGAAGCTGACTGTTGAATCACCCAAGTGTCTTACCCAAGTGCCCCACGTGTGAGAAACTGAGGGTGCAGCTGAGGGAGCCATGTGAGAAGTGGCCACTAGGGTACGGACAGTTCTGAGTGAGGCTGGTATTTATCTTGTGTGTGGGTGAGGGGGTAGTTTTGTTTTTTAATTAGATCGGAGTGTGCCAAGGGGTTCAGTGCACAAACTTCCAAGAGAGGAACTGTGCCACTGGGGTGAGAGATCGGGGTCTTTGTAAGGGTTTGAGGAGATGGAAAAGGGTTTCAGTGCCAGACATGATAATCCTTTCTGAATTGTCCAGAGATATTCGGATACTTTGATCGAGGTAACATGTAGTGAGGTCATTGCTAACAATTTTTAAATTATTTTAAAAATACAACAATTTAAAAAGCATAGGTTTTTGAAAAGAGATTCATTTCTTCTGGTTGGTTGTTTTAATTTTTCTTGGTCATTTGAATAGCAGAAAATATCCTTTCTGAAAGCACTTTAAAAACTTTTAATGTATAGTTTGGATATGTTGGGGAGAAATGAAAGGGAACTGCCGCCTCGTGAGGATGATGGCAGTGAGTCCTGGCCTCTGGAGAGTTCGGTGGGCTGCGCGGGACCATGGACTGAACAGAAGTCCTCACCCAGGACCTAACCCTTCAGCTCAAGTGTGGGCATGTGAAACTGAACTCGAGGTATACTGCTGGCCTTGCCTGTGCTTCGGGCGACTCCATCAGCGGGTACTAAATGTCCCGTGTTCACTGAACTTACCAATGCTGAGTAACGCCATAAAGAGAGCAGTGGTGAGAACTAAAATCAGCCGCACAGTAAAGACGTGCTTATGCAACACCCGCAGAAGAGTCTTATGACCTACTATTAGGTAAGGGTAGGACAGGGAATTTCTTCATGACCAGCTCCAAGACAGAAAGGCAGAGGAAGATTTGAGTTTCTGTGCCCTCTTGGAGAGAAAGTCTAGTTTCTATGGACTCCTCTGGGCAGGGACCAAGGATTAACCACCCCCCAAAGGTGTTTTAATATCATACCTACCCTTCTCATGGGAATATTTTTACTGATACAGTAATTTTTTATTCCTATCCTCTTGTCTTTAGAAATCTCAAACAGTGTATACGTGGAACTAAGTAAACATTAATACTTTCCTTTACCAGTTTATCTTACACAGGCACCCAGCTATTAGGCTAAGATCATGAACATGAAGCGTAGCAACAGTGCTTCTGGCGCTCAAAAGTTATGCACACTACCAACTCCCCAGGATGAAAGTAATCACTATGTATGCAAATACTCTAATAAAAATAAGAATTAAAAAGGAGATCTAATAAAGTAAATGACCAGCTACTTGGGAAGGTAAGGCAGGAGGCTTGTTGAGTTCAAGGCTAGCCTGGACTACATAGTGATGCCTTGTCTCGAATAATAAAATAAAATAAAAAAAGGTGAGTGGGGTCGCGGGCGAGGCCTTGGGAGCGGGGCCTCCTGGACTCCTCTGCTGTGGACGAGGCGATCTGGCAGCGGGCCACCGAGGGGGTCAGGGAGCCTGAGCAGGGCGGCGAGCAGGGCCAATCAGCCTGAGCAGCCTCCGCAGCGCCCACCTCCGGCCCAGCAGCCATTGGAGGAAGACATGGCAGCATCCCCTGCCCACCAAGGGTTCCTGAGCCTGGACTCGCCCACCTACGTCCTGTACAGGGACAGAGCAGGGTGGGCTGATACAGATCCAGTGCTACAAAATGATGATCCCAATGCAGTAATGCAGATCATCTATGGTGAAAAATTTAAAGATGTTTATGATTATTTCCGAGCTGTTCTGCAGCATGATGAGAAAAGCGAGCGAGCCTTGATGCTCACTCGGGATACCATTGAGTTAGATGCAGCCAGTTATACAGTGTGGTATTTCGAAAAGTTCTCCTACGGTCACTCCAAAAGGGTGTACATGAAGAAATGAGCTACATCACTACGATAATTGAGGAACAGCCTGAAACTATCAAGTCTGGCATCATAGGCGAGTATTAGTAGAAGGGCTGAAAGATCCATCTCAGGAGCTTGGGTTTGTTGCTGATATTCTTAATCAGGATACAAAGAATTACCATGCCTGGCAGCATTGACAGTGGGTCATTCAGGAATTGAGACTTTGGGATAATGAACTACGGTATGTAGACCAACTTCTCAAAGAGGATGTGAGAAATAACTGCATGGAACCAAAGATACTTTATTCTAACACCACTGGCTGCAATGGTCATGCTGTACTGGGGAGAGAAGTCCAGTACACTCTGGAAATGATAACACTTGTACCACACAATGAAAGTGCGTGGAACTATTTGAAAGGGATTTTTCAGGATTGTGGTCTTTCCAAATATCTCAACCTATTAAATCAGTTACTTGATTTACAACCAAGTCACAGTTCCCCTTACCTAATTGCCTTTCTTGTGGTTGTCTATGAAGACATGTTAGAAAACCAGTGTGACAACAAGGAAGACATTCTTAATAAAGCATTAGAGTTACGTGAAATCCCAGCTAAAGAAAAGGACACGAAGAGAAAGGAATATTGGAGATGTATTGGAAGACCCCTTCAAAGTAACAGCAGAGAAAGTGACCTGCCAACAAATGTACAGCAATAACACCATCCAGAACTTGATGGAATGCTTTTATTTTTTTAAGGGGCTGTAAGCAGGAGTTTAAAACTAGAGTGAACATTCCCTTACATGTGGTGTAAAAGATGAATCACACAGATACTGATTGTTTTTCCCCTAATTTTTTGGTTTTTGTTATTTGTTGTTGTTGTTTTTCAGATACTGATTTTTAACCAGAACTAAGTGTGATGTTCCTTGGGTGCTGCTGTTATTCATATTTGCTCTGAGTAGTTTGATTCTTTTGAAGCAAAGAAATTGGGGAGAGGGGATAAACAAGTCCCATAAAGGAACCACTGCTTTTGTAGTCTTACCAACATTTAATCTACTTGCTGTGCATCACCTTTCCGTAATGACTGCAGGCTACTTGTCTGAAGTAGATCTGAGGTGACCAAAGTTCAGTACAGTAAGTTGGGAATCCAGTTATCCCGTCAGAGCTGCTGTGCTGTGCTCACAGTATATAGCTATCACTGAAACCAACTAATGTGAAAACTGGTTTTGTAATAAAATTACAGATACAGCTAACAACAACAACAACAACAACAAATAAAGGCTTAAAACATGGTAGGAACGGGAAGGAATATATTGCCTGATAATTGTCAGATTTGACGAACAGCCTTCTCACTGGTAAATCCTTTTTTAATTCTTTTCTAAAAAACATGTTTTAAAAATCTTAAAGACACTATATGTTAGCTTTCCGTCACTGTGACCAAATACCTGAGAAAAACAGCTTCAGAGAGGAAAGGGTTTCAGGGGTTCCAGCCCACAGTTGGCGGCTGTGAGGCAGAAGCATGGTGAGGAGGGACCTGGCTGAGGAGAGCGGCACGGAAAGGGAGAGAGTGGCAGGCCCTTCGCAGACGCCCGGTGGAGAGGGCGGATTGCTGCTGGGAGGGGCCCAGCCTCCCAGTCAGCCCCTGAGCTGGGCGCTCCTCAGGGATTGAGCCCCTGGACGGTGTCAGGGCTTCAGGATTGGATAAATTCCTCGGATCCCAGCAGCGGCAGCCAAGCCTTTAACACACAGGCCTTTGGGGGACGTTTTGAATCCCAGTCATAACACACCAAAAAGTACATGGTTTGAGATTTCAAATGTGTATTATGTATCTTTTTCTTATTTTGCAGGTTACATATCAGTTGATGCCATGAATAAATTCCTCGGGGAGTTACGTGACTTTGTTCCTGGAAGCTCAGGCTATCTGGCGTATCATGTTCAAGATGAAATCAGTATGTCTGCGATAAAAAGCAAATTGAAGAGGAAGTGTTAAGTTAAATTGTCCTTATATCTGGGCATTAATTTTCTATAAAATGTTACCGGAGATGTGTATAATAACTACTCCCACCTGGGACCAGGAAATGGGTGGTGAAGTCTTCTCTTTGTGTGAGTGCCTGTGGAAAATTCAGGATCATTTTGGGTGTGGGATTTGACATTTGAAGTGGACTTTTCCCCCACTTTGTAACATGTTCACAGATTCTGAGTGTACAGCGTGTTAGTGAAACACTGTCTATATGAGTCTCTCTCTCTCTCCATCATTTTTTTTTCTTTCAACAATCTATTTTTTTCTAGGTTCAATACTGTGAATGCAAGCTTTTATGATTCTGTTTATTTTAGATTTTACAAGTTAGAATGCTATAGTTGAGTTATGAATTTTGGCCCCTGACTTGATACACACGGAGTAAAACATTTTAATAATAATTCATTCTTCATGCATGGGTGATTTCTGATGCTCAATGCCTGGGACGTAACTTGGTCAGAGATCTGGTGGTTGCAGCCCCTGAGATGAACCTGCAGGGCACCTTAGATCCCTGTGCAGAACAGGAGCTTAGAGAACAGAGACAAACGCATTCACTGTGTCTGTTAGGAGATGAAGGCGCTGTCCTCTGTTGGTGCCCCATCTCTGGAAGTGAGGTCTCTGTGGGGTGTGCGGGCTGGACCCAGCCTCCCAGGTAATGGGGACCACAAGCCCACACCTCATGCCAGGCTTCTCTGTGTCTTTAAGCTGATGTTGTGTTGTGACGTGGTGCTCTTGTGTATTTGGGGGGGACTTTGAGACAGGGTCTCACTATGTAGTTGAGACTGACCTGGAACTTGCTATGTAGCCCAGGTTGGTCTCGAACTCACCGAGATCCTCCTGCCTCAGCCTCCCAAGTGCTGGGATTACAGGCATGCACCACCATGCCCAGCTACTCTAGCTCAGTGTGATGCGGTACACCCATGATCCTACCACTGGGAGACTGGAGGCAGGAGGATCTTGAGTTTGAGGCCAGCAGGAGCTACATAGCTAATTCAAGGCCACCCTGGGGACACAGTGAAAACCTGTTTCAAAAAGCAACCAACCTCCCCCAGTCTCTTCTCAAAACAAACAGAAACACTACTAAACGATTGTGAGTGGGTCCCAGATCAGCCTGATTTCAAAGTTCAGTCTCCGTCTACATAACCTTGAAGCGATTGTCAAAACTACACTTCTGTGGCCTGGCAAGGCAGTGCACACCTGTAATCCCAGCGTTTGGGAGGCTGAGGCAGGAGGATCATTACAAGTCCAAGGCCAGCCTAGGCTACATAGAGAGCCCAAGCCCAGCCTTTTCACTACATAGCAAGACTATCTAAAACCCATGCTGTAGCCACGCCCCTGTCAGATACCAGAGCCCTCAGCAGGTGCCTCCTGCCCCACACCCTCTTCAGGCTGATGGCAAACTTTCCCCTTAGACCCAGGTTTGTTTTGTTGATTTTCATAAGCATCCTCTTGGCTTCTGCTTCTCTACAGAGAGGCAGCTGGAGGGCTGTTCATAACACAGCCCACTGCAACTCCCTGTTAAACATGCTGTCAGTTCTGTGATCTCTTGAAGGGGCTTCCCTATCTTAGTTGGAGGCTGTGTCTGTCTTACTTATCATAACCCTGGCCCTTTGGACCGAGCATGTCACAGACACCTGTATTTCCTGAGTCATTGGAAGAAGGCCTCAGTCCAGTATGGCCTCTCTTCCTATCTTTCCACAAAGCTCCTTTCCATGATCACCAGCTACCTCTTTGTATCAGTCAGTCCTCAGATATTATAAAGGAACATCTGAGACAACTTACAAGGAGAAAAGGTTTATTTTGGCTTATGGTTCTGGAGGTTTCCAAGATTTAAGCAGTCTTGTTACTTTGGCAGCCTGTCCAAAATTTCCTAAGGTAGGAAGGAGAGAGAGAGAGAGAGAGAGAGAGAGAGAGAGAGAGAGAGAGAGAGAGAGAGAGAGACAGGAAGGGGGTTGAGAGTCTCACAATCCCCTGCAAGGGCAAATACCCAATGACCTAAGGATCTCTCGCTAGGCCCCTCCCACTAAAAGTTCACAACACTTCTCAATGGTTCCGCACTGTGGTCCAAGCCTCCAAGACAGGACCCTTGGGAGACACCACCCACTTTGCAACCATAGCATTCCTTGCTGCTGAGTCCCTGGACACTTTGGTTTCCATATTGATTTTTCATCAGGATTCAACACTTAGCCACTTTACTGATGGCTTCATTTATTGTCAAATTCCTTCATGAGTCTCTCTTCTTTTTCCTTCTTTTTCTCAATGTGCACGCGCGTGCTTGGACTTGAGCTGTCTCCTTTCATTCTATATGTTCTCCCTGGGTTGTCTTGCTTTCTCTCACTCCTTTAAGTGCGGTCTATACACCGTTGGCTTCCAATCTGAACTCTAGCCCTTTCAAGCAGAGGGTTTCCCAGACGCATGCCAAGCATGCCCCAGTCGTTTCACCTTCTCACAAGAGTTTCAAACTTGGCCGATTCAAAATTACATGCTTCATCTTTCCCCCAACTCTGCTGCTCTTTCCCCAGCCTTGCCTGTAATAGACAGTAGCATCTCCCTCCATCCTTAGTCAAGTCAGAAATCCAGGAGTCAACCTTTCCACGATGTTCTCCTCAGCTCATAATCTAATCCCTTATCAATTCTCATGGAAACTGTCTCCAAAATAAATCTGTATCCACTCATTTCACTCCATCTCTACTTCCACCATTTATCCAAGTTTGTGCCACCATCCTCAGCTGGCATCCAGCAGTAATCTTTAGCTGTCCGCTTGCTTCCATTCTTCCTGTGCCCAGTACTGCCCCACCAAGGGCTTCTCTTCCCTGGAGAGTTCTAGACCAAAACTCTTACTCTCTGAGTTTTTTCCAAAGCCTTTCTAGGCACCCCCTTTTTTTCTTTATTAAGACAAGGTCTTGCCATGTAGTTCAGGCTGGCCTTGAGCTCACCATGTAGCCCAGACTGGCTTTAAACTCACAGCAATCCTCCTGCCTCAGCCTCTTGAGTGTTGGGACTATAGGTGTGTACCACTGCGCCTGGCTCTAGGGCTTTCTTTAGGTTTGTTCATGGAATTCGTGTTAATCCTGAGAGTGGCCTCAATCAGTCTTACTCATGACATAGGGATTCACTAGTTCAACTTCCATTGATAACTTTTGTTCCCAGTTCTCCAAGAAACTTCACAAGGTTTTTATTATTATTATTGTTTTCTCTTTCTGTTGCTGTAAATACGTAGGTCTGAGTCACTGAACAGCTGATAACCTGATGGAGAAAGCCAGAGATCAAGATTACCCAACTGTTCTGACCTTTAGAGCACCAAGGACCGCACAGAGCTCTGATTTTGTGTTGTACATTTCATTGTGCAATCCAGACTTGCAGTAGCTCAGGATCTATGATGGGTTCATCTCCTTCCTTCTATGTATGTGGCTGCAGAAGGTCGAATCCTGTGACTTAATTTTTAAATTTCAAATAAGTTTTCATGGTAAGAATTGATCACCACTTTGTTAAAGCTGTACTCAGTGAGAGAGCTTTGATGTTGGCAAGGTTAAGCAGTGGTACTGAGAAGTTGTCAAGTAGGCGACCAACAAAGGTGAAGGCAGCCTATTTTGTTGTGTTTTGTTTGTTTGTTTTGGATCAAACTCGCAATCACTCTCTGCCACTGAGCTATGACCCAAGTCCTATTCTTTAAATATATATTTTTTAAAGACAGGGTCTCCCTAAATTGCTCAAACAGGACTTGAACTTGTGATCCTCCTGTCTCAGCCTCCCAAAGTATTGATATTACAGGTGTTCCCCATCACGCCTGGCTCAAAGCTAGGATTTTATGCCTTGTTCAGTTAAATGCACAGAAAGGCCTGTTCTGTGAATACTGGTCTCTGTTGTTCACCTGGGTTGATGGTGATGTGTAACAATCACTGGAATTTCATTCTTTTCTGCCCCCCCCAACCCCCGCCGCTTTGGTTGTTTACGTATTTCTTTTGCAAAGACAATTAGCTGGTCCCAGGAAGGACCTTTCATCTCTGTAAGACGTTGTTTTATGAACTGTCGTGGCTCCATTTATACTTTTGCTCTTCCAATTGGTATTTGTGACTTTCAGGACTCTGGTATTGGGAAGGCTTGATGGGTTCAGACTTTGAAATGGTGCTTTGGTTTCATTGTTTTGTTTTAAACTAAGGCTATATAAAGCTTGTGGATTAAATACATTTCTAAATTTTAAAATTTAAAAAAACACAGTTCCTTCAGAATCTTGATCAACTGACTGACCCTTTTACCTTTCCTAAGAAGACCCCTAGAGGAGCCCTAGGCACCGAATCCTTCTGCCGCCAGCACCAACCTTCGGGGTTTCCAAGCGTCACGGGTGTCCCTGCTCCGAGGAAAAACACCACGCCAAGCGTGGCAATGCGCCCTTCGGCAGGGACCGCGGCCTGGGATCTGGGGGTGCTGTGTTCGTAATTCACAAGCCCAGAAGGGTCTACTGCCGCACTCCGCGGGCCATGGGAGGCTTAGCATGAGGATCCTGAGAACACAGGAGCTAGAGAGCCGTTTAGGGGCAGGCTTACGATCCCCCACTGCACAGTCCACTGAGACCCGGCTCCTCCCTACCCCGCGCAGGAGGCCGGGGACGCGGCACCCCCAGCTCAGGCCGCGGGCTGCTGGTCCGGAACCGCCGTCTCCGCAGGTCCGCGCACTTCGTGAGCCCACCATCCGGGAGCTAAACGCAGACATGCTTACTGCGACTTTGCAGCGCAGCGCAGCCTGCTCGGGGCGGGCCGGAAACCC